AGTGCTGGCAGCCTGGGGACTTTGATCAGGGTTATGAGGTGAGAGGAAGTCCAGATGAGTATCTTCACTGTCTTCTGAGGGCAGAACCCCATCCTCTCAGGATGGACACTACAGTCCTGGCTCATCTCTCAACTCCAGTACACACAGTGATTAATAAGCATTCTTCATGGAAAGGCTTAAATAAGAGCAACAGACAGCAGTCAATACAGTAATGAGTTAGCAATGCTGGAGGGAAAAAGGAGATGGTACATACCAGAGCTTGCAACCCATAATATACCTCAGTCTCCATGGTAATGTCTCAGATTGCAAGTTTTTCCTCAGGACTTGGCGACCCAAGGTTCCACAGTTACAACAGGCCCCAGGCACTCTCAGTGTTTGTCCAAGGTTGCATTTGAAGTAACTAAGCTTAACAAACTTTTCTTGGGTTGTGATGGAGTTAAGGGCCACAGTCATGTCATTAGGCTTAGAAGCCGCCTTTGAATTTGTGTGGCAGAATGCAGTTGTGGGATAATCTCCCTAAAGCTGTGGCATACATGCAACTGCTAAAACTATTGTTGTCAGTCCGTAGAGTGCTTTCCCAGTATGTATGAGGCACTGGGTTCAGTCCTCATCACTGTATAGAAACATCCAGATATAGCAGGACACATTTCCAGTCCCAGCACATGAGAGATGGAGACAGGAGAGTAAGAAGTTCAAAGTTACCCCAGCTATATAGTCAGCCTGGGCTACATGAGACCCTGTTTCAAAAATGTATACATATGTATATTGTCATTAAAACAAAAGGGAAATTAAATATTTTTGATAGAAAGTTTGAGGAGTCGGCCGGGCGTTGGTGGTGCACGCCTTTAATCCCAGCACTCGGGAGGCAGAGGCAGGTGGATCACTGTGAGTTCGAGACCAGCCTGGTCTACGGAGCGAGTTCCAGGACAGCCTCCAAAAGCCACAGGGAAACCCTGTCTCGAAAAAAAAAAAAAAAGAAAGTTTGAGGAGTCTAGAGAGATTTCTCAGTGGTTAGGAACATTCAGGTTCAGATTCTACTGCCCACATCAGGCAGTTCACACTGCTCACAACTCCAGTTCCAGGAGATCAAAAACTCTCTTCTGGCTCTGATGAGTACCTGCACAATATGCTGCACACAAACTCATCAGATGCATGTTCTCTCTCTCTCTCTCTCTCTCTCTCCCTCCCTCCCTCCCTCCCTCCCTCCCTCTCTCTCTCTCTCTCTCTCTCTCTCTCTCCCTCCCTCCCTCCCTCCCTCCCTCTCTCTCTCTCTCTCTCTCTCTCTCTCTCTCTCTCTCTCTCTCTCTCTCTCTCACACACACACACACACACACACATCAATTTAAATTTTTTTTAATTTAAGGATGATCTCAAAGAATGCTCCCTAAGACATTTGGGGATTTGGAGTCTCCAGCCCCCAGGGTGAAAGGTGACTCTTAGTGCCCAGTAGATTTAGGAAGCACTGTTAGAAAAGCTTTGGTGTGGTGGGGTTTGTCACCGTGGCCTGTAAGGACAGCCTCCTTCACTTAGACCTGTGCCACATCACATCTGTGCCCCAGAGAGTCGCTGCCTCCCCTGCCTAAAGTCACCCTCCTGCAGGCCATGCACTCTCTGCCTCTCCCTGTGCCCTCTGGGAGGAGGTGCCAGTAACTGAGCACACTGCACTAGGTGCTCTTCCCCCTCCCCCCAATCCCGGTTAAGTGCAGAACAGAGGCCAGTAGCTCAGCTTGTCTCTTCTGAGGCTAGTGGGCCAACCAGAGTTTATTGTGGCCTCTGTGCTCTAGTGAAAGACTTGGTGAGCTCACTCTGGTCAGACCCTGCTGCTGCTGTGACTTAGCTTGGTCCCGGTTCTCACTCTCTGCCTGCTGCAGGAGGCATCCCTGTACTGTGGCATGGGGATCATATCGGGTTTCACAAGAGCAGGTCTGATTTCAGCACAAAAGTAGAGTGGGTCATGGCAGGGGTTTGATTGTGTTGGACATCAAAGTGACTAGGGCCATGGAAGCTGCGTGGTTGGCCACTTACCATGAGCTGGGCAGGTGACCAAGTGTTCCATTTTGCCTGGAACTAATAGCTTCCTAGGGTACAAGACTTTGAGCATACAAATGGGGATAGTCCCAGACAAACCAGGAGGAGGTACAGTGGTAACTGGACTGCTTGGTAGGTTCTGGCAATGAATACATCCCTGTGTCTCACACTGGATCCAAGAACGGAACAACCGGGACCCTGGAGACCTTGGTCCTCTCATGCTTACTGTCCCAGGGACCAACTTCATCTTTTTTTCTGAAATTAGAGCTCAGTTCTGTCTGTTCTTGAACTTCATGAAATGACACAGAAGGAAGTGACTGGCTTCTTGTACTCAATGCCACGAGACCAGGTCCTACTGTTACACACAGCTGTGGATGATGGCTCATTATCATGTAAGCTGTGCAGCATAATTTGTGTGGATGACAAGGTCTTAGGTAGTGTCCAGTTTGTAGTGTTACAGCCTTCTGGCCCGTGTGTTTTTAGAGAGAATAGCTGTGCATTTCCATTGGAAATGTAATGGGGAACTTGGCTTACTGGTCAGAAGAGCACTGTGTTTTAAAATAAATTCTTTTAGATACTGTGTTACACCCCCTTCATTGTTTATTAAATTGCTTTTAAAGCAAAGACTAAGAAATAAAGACAATTTTTTAAATGGGGAAAGATAACCTTGATGTAGAAGAACCAGCCTCGTGTCAGGAGTAAAGAAAGGGATGGGAGACAGGTAGCAAGTAGGCTCAACCCCAGCTCAGTGTCCTGATGGCTGCACTCATTGCTATGGCAGTTTTCAGGGCTGGTCCTTAAGGGCTGGCCCAAATCTAAGAGTTCCCTCTAGAACTACAGAGCTCTCAGAAGAGCACACGATGCTAAAAACAAAAGTTGGGGCCAGCTAAATGGCTTCCCTTAAGCCCTGCTGTGTAGAACTGGGACTGCTGCTGGGAAGAGGCTCTCCAGTGCCCTGCAGCATCTTATGCCCTGCCTCAGCCCTCTCTTTAGAGCAGGTTGTCTAACAGTTCCTACCTTTCATCTTTGTATAGAAAGTCTTCCTGACTCCTTTCTAGGACCAGTGAAGGCAGCTGGATAGCACTGGCCAGGTAACACTGTGTTTTTACAATGTTCAATGCCTGTTGAATCAATACCTCCTGACCTACAGGCAGCGCCATCACACCACACCAGTGCAGAGGAATCCCGCTTCATTGTGGGAGTTTGAATTCCTCCAAAATCCCCCAGTCCCAGGGGAGGCTTCCCACAGCAGGCTGTGCTGCAAGTATTAGGAACAGGCTAAGCCATAGCACCATCAGGGGCTGGGCACCTGGAAAAATAGGGTGGTTCCTGTCCTTTCATAGAAACAATGGCAGCTCCAAGGTGATTCTGAAGGGAGGGGTTCCTTGGATCTCCTTGTGAAGGTAGTTTGAATGGGCAGGAAGAGAGTGTAAGGAGCTCCAGGTCACACTCATGGAGGGAAATCACAAACCAGCCTTCCAGAGACCTCTTTCCTGCCCACCAGCTACTCCCTCCTGGTTTCCTGAGCATTGGGTGTTCCCTTACACCTGGGGGAGCCCCTCTTGACTAGGCCTGTCTCATCCATACTCCACCATTCCGCCCTCCCTTCCCTACCCTAGAGAAAAGGCAGCCATTACCATTACCCTTTTCTTATTTCCTCATCCTCCCAACTCCAAAGTGCCAGAGGCCATTCCTCTAATGCTGGATACGAATCAGGGAAATGCAGAGAAAGAGAGTGTGGCTGTCACCTCTGTGTGCCCTTCCTGGAACTGGGCTCTCTTTCCCTCTGCTGAGCCCGGGATTCCCTGCCTCTTTGCTCCCTTGCCAAGCCCAGTCACTACCTTCAACTTTTGCCACCCCAAAACTCTGACTCTGGCAAATATGACTAAGTCCCCTGTTTAGCCCTTGGTTCTTCCCATGAATCTACTCGGCTGTTTCAGATTGTCCGCTGGGGATTCTTAAGGTGAAAATGGGATAAAGTCTAAACCTTTCGAAAGCACACAGTAGTTCTGCTGGCAGCCATGTGGTTCCTTATCTAGCCACTCCTTTAGCCAAATCATGTCTGGGCAATTAAAGACAGTAATGGAGCAAGTATAGTTCCAGAGACATCTCCATGTTGTCTGCTCTCCTGACATTCCACCCTGAGAGAAGAACAGGCTTCTGCCTGAGAGCTGCTGCTGGAGCCCTGCTGTGGGAGATTAGGCAACGCCAGACATGGTGGCATTAATTCCAGCACTCAGGAGGCAGAAGCAGGTGGATCTCTGAGTTTAAGGACAGCCTGGTCTACAGAGTGAGTTCTAAGATAGCCAGGGCAGCCAGGGCTACACAGAGAAACCTTGTTTGGAAAAACAAAAACAGACAAACAAAAATAAACAATTAGGGGGCAAGAAAGTTGGCTCAGCAGTTAAAGGCACTTGCTGTTCTTGCAAAGAATCCAGGTTCGGTTCCCAGAACCTACATGGCAGCTCACAATTCTCTGTAACTCCAATTCCAGGGGGATCTGACTCCCTCTCTTAGCTTCCTCAGGTGTGGGGCACACGTGGTACACAGATATACTCATGTGCATAAAACAAATAAGAATTGAGCAACTTGGGGGTCTATTGCAGGGACATAAGGCTGTTCCGGCATGCTTTCGGCCTTAGGTTTAATGCCCAACATTGCAATGCTGTTAAGAGAGTAGAACACCTTGAAGTGCTGTGATTCAGATATGAGAATGAATGTCAGGAATCCACATGCTTGAGAGAGAAGCCAAGCATCTGAGAACTTGCCCAGACAGATAGCAATTTTATGAAAACTGGTAAATCCTTTGATTTAAAACTAGATAACACTGGGGGTAGGGCATCACACAGCATTAGTGTATTTGCTAACTGGTTGGTAGGCTATTTTTTCTGAAATAAAAACGACACATGACCCTTCCTGCAAATTCTAGCAATAACGTCCAAAACAGAAAAAAAATGAAACCCCAAACGAAGCATGGTTGTGCACACCTTTAATCCCAGCACCTGGGAAGCAGAAGCAGGAGGATCATGAATCCTAGGCCAGCCTGCACCATACTACACACTGAAGCAGAAATATAACAGAAACACAAGCATTACTAAAATATCCAAACTCTACCTTGGCCATCATGCTATGTGTACCAATATTGTAAGTTTCTAATTCAAGAGGAACCCGGGCAAGCAGAGAACCGGGCGGAACAGAGTGTTTCAGATGGGTGTGCTGCCAGGAAGGAGCAGTGCCAAGGCCAGAGGCTGGGGCTCCCCGTGCCTTCAACGTGGACAGTGATTAAGACCTATCATGCAGGATTCCAAGTCCTAATTAGGAAAGGAGACGTGCAGAAGGGGCCCTTTTGGCATTCCTCAGCGTGACTGTTTGCTTTTCTTGCTGTCCGTTGGAGCACTGCAGGACTTATCCCTTTCTTGCTTCAAATAAAAAATGTAAAGGTGAGAAGAAGCAGGTGCCCACAAGCAAAGACAGGCTGCATCTTGGTGGAGCTTGCTTAGGCCACACACATCACAGAGGTCAGGGAACTGAAAGGTCCCTCGGAAACCCAGCCCAGTCACTATGGGGTCAAGATGGAGTAGCATGTATCAGTGCAAATTCAAAGACTGGTAGCTTTCTACCAGGCCCTCATGGGTACGTGACCAAAAAGGGTTCAGATTGCCCTCATGGACTTAAGTCAGCATCTTGCCTTAAGAAAAGCCACGCACGATGGTGTGTTAATACTCAAAAACACAAGTTTGTTAACTAGAGTGGGAAAATACACACTCACCAACTCTAAATTCTTTGTCCTTGCATTCAGCAGAGGGCTCCTCCCGTGGCCAGTCTTCTCCCAGTGTTTCCAGTGGGTATTGTTCAAGCACAGAGTTCAGGTACAAGCAAATTTCTTAAGCTGAGGCCTTTTGAATGCTGAAGAGCTCCAGAAGCTGTCAGCGTGTTGCGGTTTATGATGATGGACTAATAACGATTTGGAAAAAGGATGTTCATAAAACCCTGACTTAAGGGGGCCCTGGCTATATTTCATGGGATTTGGACAGGGTCAAGAAAGGACTAAGAATATCATTTTCAAACTGAAGGGATAGAACCATTTGTTGAAGCATATTAACAATTTAAAGATGGTAGTAGTACAGCATTAATGCTAGGCCTGGGGTCCATCTCAGGGTGGGACTCTAGGCAGCTGTGCAGGCCGTACACCCACAGAGCCAGCCCTTAGTTTGACATGCAAGGTGAGGGGGTTACTGGCATGAAGAAGAGGTGCATGGAGGTCACAAATGAGGATGGTCTGTTCTATTTGACTCTGAGAACACTGCCCTGCAAACTGTGTTTGGCTCAGGCTCCTGGGAGATAGTACAGGTTATCTGTAAGAAATGTAAGATACACACGGCGCCAGAAGAACCCTAACTACCGGCTGTCCTAAGCACAAGTGCAATGCACGCAGCTTCCTTAGTCTGCATAGAAATATGAGATGCCGAGGATCCGGCCTCCTGGGCTCACATCTCAATGTCTGGGGCTCTTTGGGCAGGTTGACCTAACGGATTCTCTGCCAGTGCCTCGCTTACCATCTCCATATAGTGAAGAAGTGAAGATTACCTGTGCTCTGGGGTGGTGTTAAGATTGAATGAGTTCATCTATTTCAGATCTTTACACTGCGGGTGGTAAAGTGTGTTCGGTGCCTGCCGCTGAGGAGGAGGGCGCTTGACCGTGTAGTTAGAGCGTGAAGAGAACGTGGTGCAGAGGGAGGGGAAAGTGCTCAAGGTCACTCAGCCAATGAAGACGCTGCACTCTGTCCTCTGCTGCACGCCTTGTGGACAGGCTTTCCAGGGGAGCGTAAATGCCTCACCAAGCCTGTGCCTCCTTGCTGATTAAAAGCCCTCATGTTTATTGGCTCACATCTGATGAGCCATCCCTAGATGGCTCCCCCCTCTCCATCTGGAGGTATATAAAGGAGACTAAGGACTAGGTGGGAGGAAGGGACTCAAGGAAGGCCTATGAGAGGTGAAGGCTGGCCTGAGGTTTGGGATGGAAGAGGAGGATGAAGGGGTTTCTCTGCTCTGCTTTGTATGTCTTGGCAGTCTGTAGATTAATCAAATCTTTCACTTCAGTCTCACAGGTGGTTGAGGCGGATCCTAGGAGTCACTTACAGAGTGACTTATTCTTCTGCTCTTCTCCCCCAGGGTCAGCGGACTGTCTCCCTTCATGGGTGACAATGATAATGAGACCTTAGCCAATGTCACTTCTGCCACCTGGGACTTTGATGATGAGGCGTTCGATGAAATCTCCGACGATGCCAAGGACTTCATCAGTAACTTGCTGAAGAAAGATATGAAGTAATGAGCTGGGATTGCGGTCTTGTCAGTCTCTGGGCTGGTTCTGGGAGGCAGGGCCTTCCTTTATCTGTGAAGCTCCCTCTTCCTAGCTCCACATCAATCCTGTGTCCCCTGAAGAGAAAAAAGTGGCCGCTGAGGGACCCAATCAGTGGTTGTGTGGAGTGATCCCTGTTTCCTGGTGCCAGACACCCCCCCACACTTTGGAAGCACAGAAACCCCACTGGAATGGTGACCCCCTGAGCAAGGGTCTCAAGGGAAAGACAGCTTCTTGGTGATGCTTGGCCTTTTATTGTCTGTTTGGCTGTGGCCCTCACAGTTCTGCAGATCCCAAGGGCCCTCATCAAGGCTCACAGGGGGGAGTGCCTGTTTAACTTACAAGCATAGATAACAGAGACAGCCAACAGCCCATTGGAGGGTCCTCTTTATATCCCCAGACTATTCTGATTTGGTATTTTATTCCCATCAAAATTATTCCTTCAGTATGGTCCAGTTCTTTCTCATACAGAACAGACTGGTGAGCAGTGGATACTGGGGTGCCTCTGCCTGTGATGGCAAGCAGCGGAGAAAGATGAAACATACAGCTTTTATCAGAGTTGGAGTGAGGCTAGGTAGAAGAGGTGGGCTGAGGTTCCACCACCTGCTGGTGTATCTCTCCAGGTGAGTGGAGTCAGCTAAATCAAAGCCAGAAGGGAAGAGACTCTGCTTGGGCGGCCCTGTGCTCCTCAGGAGAGCTGCTGGGGCAGGGAGCCCTAGGGTATCATGTAAATAACTTTCAGGAGGCAGAACCTGTTTCCAGACCCCTGCTCTACCCCCAGCTCTGAGTGGTATTTGGCAGTAGGAGATAGTTGTGAACATGCCAAGAAGGGTGGTGTTGACATAGGTGATGAGACAGGAGCAGGAGAGGGACAGCCACCTCTGGAGGTAGGCAAGAGGTTCAGGATTAGCAGGTGATTTTGAAACCTGTCTTCCATCCACCCGGCCACCTGGTCTGTGGCTCCCCATTCTGTAACTGGTCCCCTCCTACCCTATGAACAGGGGAGAGTGGTTGCTACAGGTGTCTTCTGGAGACCCTCTTCAATGGCTGTGCCTAATCTCCTAATGCCCACCTATCTCTGAATCTGCTTGAGCCTTCCAGATTCAGACTCCCCGAGTGACATCCACACCTCTTCACAATGCAGTCCCAGCCTCTTAGTGGCCACAGTGGTTGTGTCAGAAGTTAGCATGACCCAAAAAGAATCTGGATGTCATGGGAGTCTGGATTCCCTTTCAAGGTGATGACAGTTCCTGCTCCCAAGACAGATAGCTCACTTCTGATCACACCAAGGATGTCTTTTGTGAAGCAAACTTCATTCATAGAAGATGTGATAAATGAGGCATTGTGTGTATACCTCATTTTCTCATCTGCCCTTAAGATGATCTAGCAACAGGCTGTGTTGGCCTCCTCTGTACTAATCAAATGGACTCACCAAAAACCACACTTCATCACATAGAGCAAACATTATTTTAAATCCCTAAACCCAGCATACCTTCCAAAAACAATTCTCTATCAGTCACTGTTTTTTTCAATTGTCTGTGATAAAATTATGCATTTGAAGACTATAAAACATGAAGACCCCTTTGTCTAAAGAGCCCCACATTGAGCTGTGCTTCTTTCTAGTCACTTTTCTTTTTTGTTAGCCTTGTAACTCTGACCATTTTGGACTCTGGAAGGTTGAGAATCTGCTGGTGGTTAGGCTGGGTCCAGAACAAGGGGAGAAAGAGCCACACTCACAGTGCCCCTGATGACTGTGTGTGAGCTGGAAACGGGCAGCTCTGGGCTGTGCCCTATGTAACCAGGGACAGGTGGCTTCCCTTCCATCATCTCTGAGGTCCCCTCCTACTCAGAATTCCTCTGATCTCTGCCTCCATCAGAAACCGTCTGGACTGCACGCAGTGCCTTCAGCACCCATGGCTGATGAAAGACACCAAGAACATGGAGGCCAAGAAGCTGTCCAAGGACCGCATGAAGAAGTACATGGCAAGGAGGAAGTGGCAGGTAACGTGGGCCCGGTGGGTTAGGGTACAGTCTTCAGATTAGCTTTCAGATTAGTTGACCCTAGCTTCATTCCAAGACAATGTGAATTTACTTCTAAAATGACCTCACCCCCCTTGGTTAAACTGCTAATGGCCCAGTCTTCTTGGCTGGGGATGAGCAGCATGACCTGAGGAGTATTCAGCAGTCCTAGAGAAGCTGGGCTCCTTAAGGGTGGCATGATGGTCACATATTTCCTTGTGAGAGGGGGAGGGAGAGCACATGTTCCAAAGAGGAAACTGTGGTAACTTTAGGCAAGGTAGTTAACTTGACTGTGGATTCATGTTCTTATCAAGTAAGTGGGAGTAACACTGATACCAAAAATTGTGGAAAATTATGAGACAAAATTTGAATGTCTTTGGGACAGTGCCTGGACCACAGTGGCCTTCCACACTGCCGTCAGTAGCTAATATGTATGGAGGGCTGGCCATGGATCTGAGTTTATTCAAAGGATTTCTGTATATGTTAGTTTCTTTTCCATTTACTATAATAAACCACCTTTAAGGGAGAAAGCTTTATTTTGGCTAGTTTTAAGCACAGCCTATTATGGTGGTGAAGTCACAATGTCAGGAGATTCGGCCACTGGTCACGTGGTATCTGCAACCATGAAATAGATCAGTGAACAGTCAGCTTGCTTCCTTTTTATTCAGTCTAAGGCTGCAGCGTGCAATGGTTTTGCCCACAGTAAGTAGATTTTCTCATCACAATTAACCTAATCTAGATAATGCAGGTATGTCTTGGGGCAAACCGAATTTCGAGAGCTCTCTAAAGTGTACACAGAGGCTGATCTCCTGTCAAATTAACAAGTTTTAAACATTACATTTGTCCATTACTTTTATATCTTATCATTGTAGGATTAGTGTCCCTACTTTGTAGACAAATCAAGGAAGAGAGTAGACAAGAGAAATCATCTGGGATCATAGGGCTCAGTAGAAAACCAGGAATCAAGCCTAGAAACTGGCTACAAATACACAGCATTAATAATAACAGAACTGCCTCTAATTACAAGACGGTAATATTGCCATCCAAACCCTAGAGCTCTTAGCACCTTCTCCATCTGTTTGAATCTTTTATCACAGTTGGAATTTTAAAACTCCTGGGCTTCAGGAGAGGGCATGATTCCCATACCCAAGGAATATATAGTGCAGTGGGAAACCAAAGCAAATGTCACATGAAAGAACACAGGCACACCAGGATTTATAAATGATCAGTATAGCTCCATGACCATATAAGTGAGGGTGGATGGAAAGGGTTATAGGAAAAGCCTTCAGGGGCTGGAGCTAGGAATTTGGTAGAAACCATACTTAAATCCCAGAGGGCTGGAGCAACAGCATGGGTGGAAGAAACGGCAGGTGAAAACTGAGCCTACCCTGAAACTACCTAGGGCTAGACATAAAGGACTGAGCCTTTAATAGGCGATTCAGAGCTAGTGATGGGGGAAGGGGGTGCATGGAACACTGGTCACTAACACACAAGGTGACTAAACCACAGTTCCCTTAGAAACCCAACTTCACACAAGGGTTAGGAAATGAGGAAAGACCACAAGGGCCTGCGGGCACAGGGCTTAAGAGGCTGCTGTCCTGAACACATGGCAGCCAGAGCCGTGCTACAAGGAGGTTGGAATAACTGGGCTGACAGGTTGTAACACCTGCCTCACTCACCTCCTGGGGCCTTCCAGGTCAGAGTGGGAAGTATCCTTAATTTTTTAAAGGTATCTACAAAATAAAAGTTGTCTCTGTTGATGATCCTCTCTCTGTCAGTCAGATGTCAGACGATTCTTGGGAAAGAATAGACAGTCTTCAGAGAAGCAAGTCTAACTGGATCTGGCTTGCATGAGGCAGCGTGTCACCTCAGAATATCTGCAAGTGGCTCCAAGCCAGAAGGGTGCCGGACGGGGGCGTGGGCAGAGAAGGGAGCTGTGGATGAGAGAGAATGGGAGAAAGAATGGCTCTGTCTCTGCAGCCAGGGACACACACTCCACAGCGCATCTCCTAATTGCTGGATTTGCTCTTTACTGGCCATAGGATTTTCTGGAAGGGTGGGGGCCAAATTCAGAAAAAGAACCTTAGTTCCCTGTTTTAATTTAAGTAAAGCATTTGGAAATGACTTTTCTGCAAAATTGCACACAAATTAGTCCATAAAAATCTCACTCAACATGAATGCCCCGGGGTGTAATTTCACTGGGAACAGTTCAGCTGTGTTGACCTGCTGTTAAGTTGCTTTCTTAGGGAACTATTTTCCACATTTAAACTCCAGTTCCAGAACCTTGGCTCCCCCAGATATAGGGGGCTCTATCTCAGAGTAGCCAAGGGGATGTGCAGCAGGATAGGGGAGTAGGAGTGGACTATACAGGGAGAGAGAGCAGAGAGCACACGTGGCCACACTAACTCCAGAAGGAACCTTCTGACTATTCTGTTCTAATAAAAGGCCCCAAAAACAGGGAGCTAACTTGGTAACAAATCCCTCCATGCAAGGCTAAGTGGGGGCACAGATGTCTATTCGTATTACTGATCTTTAGGTAAAGTTATTCTGAAAGAAGGCATATTTTCAATTCATACTGACAGACAATTGTGTGAAATGTAGCCATTGGGGTGGGTGGGGCAGGGCACCAGGACTTCTGTCTGAAAACTAGATGTAAAAGACTGGGCGTGGGAGGGTAGTATGTAGTTGCAATTTTTCTTTGAGCCACCAACCAGCTCCCAAATAAAGACATGGAGACTTATTATTGATTATGAATGCTCAGCCTTTGCTTAGCTTTGTCCCACCAGCTCTTTTAATTTAACCTGTTTGTATTCATCTACATTTTGTCTCAGGATTTTTTTACCTTTCTTTCATTCTGTATGTCCTACTTTCCTTCTTCCTCATGTCTGGCTGGCCCCTGGTGTCTCCCTCTTGTTTCCTTTTCTCTCTCCCCCAGTCTAAATTCCTCCTACTTACTCTCCCTGCCCAGAAGTTCCACCTATACCTCCTCCCTCACTATTGGCCATTCAGCTTTTTATAGACCAAATCAGATATCTTAGGTAGGCAAGGTAAAACAACAACATATCTTTTCATAGTTAAATAAATGTAACATATTTTTGCAAAGTTAAACAAAGATTCTGCAACAGTAGTAGAAAGAAGAGTGGAAGTTAAAGTTAGCTGCATTTATTTTCTAGAAACTGCAGAGACCCCAGCAATATGTATAAAAATAGCAGGAGATGAAATATTAGAGTCTGCTCTGTATTTTAATATAGATATATAAATACAGACTGCTCATGGCATCCCATACTTGTTGAGGGCTCTGTCATCCTGAGGCTGCTCTAAAGATGTGTGCAGGCTGGTACTTGGATGGCCAGCTTTCCTAAGTTTTCCAGGCATTGTTCAGCTGTTAATCCCTGAAAAACCCAGTCCTGGGAGATGGACAGCCTTGGGCCAACAGTCCTGGTCATCCTAGTTGGCTCTCCAAGAGCTGGACAATGGGAACTATATTATGGAGGCCTGTGTAGACATTACCCACCAGAAGCACAGCCTTAGCCAACCTTGTCGACCAACAAAGAGGGAGACTTTTGCAAAACAGGCTCAAGAACTTAAACTTAGATCTATTGATTTTTGCTCCAGAATTTCCAAAGGTCTCTGTGAAGCAGCAATCAGTTTTCAGCTCAGAGACATGCCCCTACACTAGGCAGTTCTGACAACTCCCTACTGCTGTTCTACAGAAAGCAGTTTCCAAATAATTAATTCTGATGTTGATTTAATTTTTTGTTATTAAGCACTTGCAAATATCCCCACTTAAGAAATTACATGAATGTCTATGTCTGCTCAAAGTTTCTCCACATGACAGTGTCTGCTCCTAATGCTCCTTCTGAAATACTGGAACTTTTATTTGCCTCATTCTGATAAGTTTGTATTAGTAATTTGGTTACAAAATAAAACCAAGAAAGAAGAAAGACGTTATCTGTTCACAATATGCAGTGAATACAGTCCTGATCAACCCCACTCCACATGACTGGAATTAGGGAGCCCCAGGGGCTCAAGACAGAGTGTGGGGGGTCCTGCTACACATTCCTGATTGGGAATCGACAATCCTTTGGGAAAACTAGAGCTGCAAGGAGATTAATTTTTTCTGGATTTGATTTAAGATCCAGATGCCAAGGCTCAGAGAAGGGAGAACTAACTTTGACAAGGTCACAGAGTAATGAGTGGTCAGAGAACTGACCTTGTTGGGAAGGACTCCTCTGGGTCAGACTCTGAAGCCAGAACAAACCAGTATGTGTTGGAAAGGAGCTAGTCAGCTCAAAGGGGAGGATCAGGTGATTAGGAAATGAGCTGCTAAAATCTTGACTCCAGTGAGATGGATGCAACCTACCTAGTTCCCAGGACAAGGTAGGTCTCCATGGGAAAAGGTGGATCTTCCCACACTACAACTGGCAAAGCCACAGACGGGGCACCAGCGGAGCGTGAAGGCTGCCGCATGTTCTCACTCTGAAGGGCCACCACCTTCTCTTTTCACCCTACGGGGGACTGACCCACCAGGTTCTGTTCAGAACCTCCCTCCTTCACTATGGTAGCAGAAAACCAGGAGCATGTCCACACTCCATAGTGCTGTGTGCAGGAAGAGATCAATGGCCACATGTCAGAGCCAGTTTGAATGTTTGTCCAAAGTGCACAAAAATAGGTTGCAACAAGGAGGTCAGAGTGCAGGGTGGACAAGTGACGATTGCAACAACAGGTCTCTGCTTAAGACACATACTCAGGCACATGCACACACACAGTCATACACACACTTTTGCATGATTCCTTAACATTCTGAAATTCACTTTTGAAATAGTCTTTTTATTGAAAACACCGGCTTTCCCAATAGTTAAAATTGTGACATGTCACTGAAATCCACAAGTGTGTAAAATCAATTTGGGAAGAAAGTGGTTTTGCTAGCACAGTGTGAGATCCACGGAGTGAGGGGAAGGCATTTGCCTATGAGGAGAAGGCTGTTTTCCTTTTTGCTCAGACAAGGGGCCAGTCTGGGATGTAGTCGGCTCCGTGGGTGCAAGTCTCTGGTTACTGAAGGAAGATGCTTTGAATTATCTTAGCCATCACCGCTGACCTTGGGAAAGACAGAGAAACTGTATTGGAAGAAAAGAGACAGGGGTGCCATTGTACACCAAGCCTCTCTTACTGTAAATCCTATGCTCGATAGAATTTTCACAATGCATAGATATTATGTGACAAGTCCTGATTCTATTCAGCAGAAATTCCTCCCTCGCCCAAGTGGCCCATTTGAGTGTTTGTCTCAGACACGCCAGTGGACACTAGGAAGGAACAGCTCCACTGAGCAACCATAGATGTGTGTCGGAGCCAGTCTGGGTGCTTCCTCAAATCTCTGAAGCATCTCAGTCATAAACAGAACTAGATGGGGCCTTGGAGACCACCTGGCCTAACCCCTTCTTTATGCACAGAAGAGAACTACAGCCTGGAGAGGTCAAGTGGCTTGCCCAAGGTCAATAAAACCCTGCTTCACTTTTCTGGACCTGCAGGGTCTGTAGTAACAATCTCCTTGACCAGCTGAAATCCTGTTGCAGGCATTGTTTTATGAGAGCAGCCCCACTGGGCCCAGTCAGCAATAAGTCTTTGGAGCTGTCTCGGGCTGCAGTTGCTTTATATAAACTATCCCTTTTATGGGAGTTGAAGCACAGTATGAAAAGAGTTTTTGTCTCATGTTGACCTTGTTTAGTCACATTAACGCACACATCAGTTCCAGGACCCATTCCATTCTCCGAACATCTTCGGACACGCTGACAGTGTGAGCAGAGCTAGGCTGGGCTCAGCCCAAAGGCCCTGCATCCAGCAGCTGCGGCTCCCAGCCTGGGCTCCTCACCTCTGATCAGAACTTGCTTACTGGAACCAGGGCCACCGCCTGAGTCCAACCTCCCTGTCTATTTTCCAGAAAACGGGCAATGCTGTGAGAGCCATTGGAAGACTGTCCTCTATGGCAATGATCTCAGGGCTCAGTGGCAGGAAATCCTCAACGGGGTCACCAACCAGCCCAATCAATGCAGACAAACTAGAGTCCGAAGGTAAGAGGGCCAGGGTTTGTCCAGGCGCTTGTGAGAGGGGAAGGGTTGTGGGCAGCGGAGCATTTTAAGAATTGAGTGTTTAGTTTGGGCTGTTAATACGCTCTACAAGTTCAGAAGAACTTTGGGAGTTTCCCTGACAACTACTTTCTCTAGCAATTATTCTTTAATTATTAACTATTTCAGGGGAAAGCTATTAATTGTTTGATAGAACTAGTCGATCATCTTCTTTTGCTTAATTTTGTAGACTTAAGAAGCCTTTATTAAGAGTCTTCTTTTTTTCTTACTATAAAAATGAGACTTTCTGTATATTGATAGACAAGAATAAATAAAATAAAAAATCACATGTGGTTATATAACATTTTAAAAATAATCCTTCCAATTTCTTCTGCCTTATGTTTTTGTTTTAAAGAAAAATTAAATCATACAGGCCAGATTCCATGATAGCACTTATGCAGCTAAAACGTGTATGGCCTGGGCAGAATTGATGGGACTAGCTCCTTGCTGCCACACGCAAGAGGCTACCCTAGTCATCTCCACAACGAGGGCCTTGGCCTCTTGGTGCTTTCGATGCACACAGGGATGGTCCTTTTCTTCTTGAGTCAGACACTCCTTGTGTCCATTGTGGGGAAGCTTCTGTTACCAACCGGTAGGAAACCGAGTCTAGAAGCGTTTTTGTGCACAAGGTAAAATAGCTGGCTGCTGTGAAATAGCCTCATAGCTAGAGACAGTATGCAGCACTTGTGCTGCACTTCCGGACCAACCAGAAATAGCCTGAAGACACAAGAGAGGACACAGGAGCTCCTCCAAGGCTTGATTTTTCCCTGGACCTGTCTCACATCCCGGTCTACTCCAGAGAGTTACAG